TTATATTCCTTGATGTAAATAATAAAGTGCATAGGCTTTAAATTAGGTGGTGATCAATTTAGAGATGTTGCCTTGTCTGTAAAATCTGTAACTTACGGAAGCCTGTTAGTGACCAGTGAAATCAAAAGTTAAGAGCTGTTAAGTGGCGGCCGCACTTATGGCGGCCGCCACAGTCAAAAGCTGAAAATCAAAATGTTAGAGAGGAGGTTTATACCAATATATTCGAAACCTTTGCAAACGTAATTGTAACCGATTTTAATTATGAATGCAATCGGACGTGTAACAGATAGCCTATTAATTCACTAAAATCAACAGTTTTTAATTAAATATACAATAAATAATCTTTTGCACTATAACCAAATTTGGGCCTGCTGAAATTATTTGATGATATTAAATAATTGTTTTAATATATGTTCAAAGATCCTTTCAACCTCCATGATTCCTAAAATTAAGCATCAAACACTAAGGATTTAATTTTATACAGATGACAGAAATTTGTCAATGGTAGGCCTACATACAGAGAGCAGAAAAGTTGTTGGTGATGAGTTCATAAGAGATTATTGCATTGAAGAAATCAGAATATATCTTACATTTAATGAACATGGAGAATGATGGTTTAAAATAAAGATAATGACATGTAGGATATGATATTTATAATGCTTAGATTTTAGTCCAAATTTACAGTACAGTACTATACATAAAATAATATTTTTTAAAAAAACAATGATTGTTAGGGCAGCTCAAGCTAATTGCTATCCTGCTCCCTAAAGAGCCAATGCCCCTCACTTACTCCATAATTCAAAGAAAATTTTGACAATTTTTAAAATAAAAATTCCACTTTCGAGAAGGCCCAAGGCTTAAACCCAGCGTGCGTTTAAGCACCACATTCCAAACCATGCGAGTTAAATCGAAAGTCATTACAGGTTAAATAACTTGTAATGCTTGAACTTTAGACGTCATTATAGATATCGACGAATCAAAGCCTACATGAGGCAAAGGTGTGATAAAATCGTTTTCAAACGGCCTATATGTACATGTTAAATCAAATAAATTATTATAGTACTGTACATTGTAAACAAAAATAACGTCATCAGCGGACAGGTGTTATTACAGTATATACGGTAATAATACTTATTTAAATCATTTGCCAGTGTATTAACCTGAAAGTGGTTGAAACTCTTCCGTATCGGCGAAATCAGCGCGTGACCAGTGGTAAAATCAGGTGAGTTCACAGATCTAGCCCAAATTGGTGCTTTTATAACAGGGGCGGATCCAGGGTAGGTCCGGATAAATTAGTATTCTTTTGGCAGTGTGCGTGTCAACAACATGGCAAGAGTGTGGATATAGTCAGGCGCAAATCAAAGGAGCGGGCACACATACACATACACACACACACACACACACACACACACACACACACACACGGGGAACGGTTCTTCCCCCCCCCCCCGTTTTGCCACAGGTTGAAAAATATAAATAAAGGAGTTACTGATAGGCAAGAATGCTACAGTTTCGCTGTTTAAACAACAAATCCTGATGTCTATTAGAACATTAGGCCTACTGTAGGTGATACTTGTTCGTACCTATGGACTATTAATACTAAATTTACTACTAGGCCCACCTAGATTTTTAAATTACGGGTACCGGTAACCTCAGTCTACATAGATCTACTAATTTGAATATCGGTGTTTCGATTAGATAGGGAAAGATATTAGATATCCCTTTAATAATACGGGGTTAAATTGAGACTAACAGTGGTTGGCTGCTGTTGTATTTCTCCTATGTTGCCCACCCCCTTCCCAATGCCGTTTTATGCAAAAGTGAGTCCAAAAAAGGGTCCAGATTTCTCATATTTTGCATAAAATTAGTAAACTTTTAAGACAATGGGTCCATTTCATATTTTTGCAGTAAAATGGGTCAACTTTTAAGAAAATGGGTCCGCATTATTTGTATTTACACGTAATGTGGGTCCACCCCGATCCCGCTGTTTGAAAATCCTGACTGCAGAATTGCCGCTTAACTTCCCCTGAATTTGGCGTCCAATCTCAAAGGAGGGGTTACTTTGTTGTAGTTTCACCGTTTCTTTGTGTTTTTTTATTTATTTTTCTTTAATTTATTTATTAATTTTTATTTTTTGCTTTGTAGCTCTAGGACTAGGCCTATATAGTGGGTAATTAAATGTGCATGAATAAATAATTTAAATAATACATATAGAGTCTATATAATATATTCATGTGTAGGCCACAGGTGGGCAAAGTCAGCGATTTTTTGCGGCCCCGCGACAATGCATTAAAAACTTGTTTTTAACTGCCCGACACCGATCATATGTAAAAAGTAAAAGTGGTGTAAAAGCAGTGCTTGGAAGCTTTTGTGCGGCCCTCGGTGTTAAACAAGGAAATTCACTTTGGCCCTCCGTCCATGGGGGTATAAGTGCTCCGATCAATGTTTATGCCCGCCCACCCCTGGTGCTCCAAGCCAGTCCACCACGACACGAATGGTTTTTTAATTGTTGCATAACATCCGGTTAACATTGAATCCACACACGCGCAGAGCAAGCAGAAAAGTCAAGTCTGGCTTAGTGTTCTCACGAGCTGTTTAGCCTAGGAGGTAGATTCTTACCACTTCATATTGAAAACAGTTTTGTATACCTAAATGGAGTGACCCTAGGCTTGAGCTATATAATATGGTCTAGTTCTAGTTGGATTTTTGTAAGTTCATGCACTAAGACTTAGTTTTATAAATACGAGTAGAAAATCCCATTTTCACGGTACGTAGGCCTAGGCCTACACTACAGTACCTAGGGCCTAGGCTTAGGCCTAGCTATGTACTATAGGTACCTATAACAATTCCCTTGCCGTACGAAGGAAGGCAACCGAGTATTGTTATTAATTTAGCCTAGCCTAGTACTGTAGGCTGTAAAAAGTAGAGTCATAAGTAAGTAGTGTAGGCTTAGGCTAAGCCAAGGCTTTACCTTAATTTACATTGAACCTAGGACTAGAGCATTAGCTCGTTTGTCATCATAGCAAACTCTTCAGAAACATTACAGTATGGGCGGTACTTGAGATGGTGGTCAGACCAACATTTGCCAGACTTGAATTTATTAACAGTTGAAGCAGTTACAACATCGTTAGGTAGTGAATTCCAATCATTATTAACTACCCGAACCGCATATGCCCTTATCCTCACATTAAGATTTGGTTTTGATTTATAGAATTTTAAAGAATGCCCCCTAGTTTTATGGAATAGATCTTTGAAAGAGCTTTCCCTCATCAATCCTATCAATATTTTTTTTAAATTTTAAATGTTTGAATTAAATCAGCCTTTTTCCTATACCAACTCAGCCCACTGTCAACTCGGCCCCTAACCGACTCGGCACATAACGGGCTCGGCCCTTGTCAGCTCGGCCCACAACCGACTCGGCCCACAACCGACTCGGCCCTTGTCCGACTCGGCCCTTGTCCGACTCGGCCCTTAACCAACTCGGCCTATGAACCAAATCGGCCCATGAACCGAGTTGCTTTTGGAATATTTTAATGGGAAATCCTTTTAATGATGTATTAAATCTTAATACCGTAATTATATTATTTTGTTGTCACACTTGAATGTATTAATGTTTTATGTTGTTATCCACAAAGAAATAAAGGAGATACACGAACATGCAGTACGTAAGTAGGCATGTTAATTTACTTTGTTTTAAATGTAAATTATTGTAGCTTTCTGACATATTTTAATGTTATTTGTTAATCTTGACATTTGACAGGTGTGTTGATGGTAGAATTAGTGTTAACCAGGGCCGCAATGAGGACGCAAGGCTTATACCATGTATTAATTATTGGCATCGTTATTGTAAACTTTATGGTACTATGTATCCACATAGTAATGTTTTCAGTGTTTTACGTATTTATACAATCGTGGGCCCAACACTGAATGGAAATGCAAGAATTTAACTGAACTAAATATAAAAAATAAAATATTAAACCTGCATGCCATCTTTCTATCATCTTTCGAATCACAAATACATTCTTGTTATTGATTTTTGGACCTTTCAAAGGCTTTGGTTTTAGAATCCTGACCATCTCTAATTTCGGTTTCCCTGTTCAATCAGACAGCTACAGTAGTTTCTATGTATTTATATATAATATTAAAACTATATTTTACTATGTTGAAACAAATTTATCTGGTTGTTCGAAACCAGATAAAACCCCCAAAAAACCCTATATAAAACCTTTTATTTTTCCATTTATGTGTATTTTATATAATCAGCAGACAGCTGAAGATTCAAAGTTAATGAAGTACAGGTAGGTGAACACGTGTGACACCTTCACTGCCATCTATTTTTAGCATCTGCCTACTTCTGTCTTAGTAGAGTGCGCCCACATTCCTGAAGAGTCGGTTAAGGGCCGAGTTGGCAAAGGCCGAGTTGGTTCATGGGCCGAGTTGGTGAAGGGCCGAGTCGGTATGGTCCGAGTCAGTTAAGGGCCGAGTTGACTTGAAGCCGTGTCAGATTTTTACAGCAATTGTCACTATTATTATTGAACATGTATTCTAAACGTTGTTTTGTATGTTTTTCTTTATACTTAATAGAGAGAATCTGATTCTAGTTTTGTTAAGGAGAGTGCACTTCCAAAATGGCCTTGCTCTTCATCCCACTGGCTGTCCTGGCTCAAATATTAGGCTTGACCACTGTTGCCTTAATCAGTGTCTGGATGATAAAATATCTTGATGGCTTTGCCTGGGATGGATCCAGCCAGCAATTTAACCTTCACCCTTTCCTAATGGTCATAGGACTTATCTATTTCTATGGCAATGGTAAGTGTTCAGTACCATTTTCATCAACTATGCAAAATAAATCAGTGCTGCATTAATGAAAAAACCGGACCAGAAATTAAAGCACAGGTGGGCAAAGTGTGGCCTCCGGGCGGGCGGCCCGCCAGCGATTTTTTTCTGTGGCTCGCTCAAAACATGAATTAAAAACCCTATGTGTGCGGCCCACCAAGTAACGTTGGCTAGAAAACACCTTGTTTTTTATGGCCCAACACCGATCATATGTTAAAAGTACAGAAAAGTAAAAAAAAAAGTGTGAAAGCAGCTCTTGGAGGTTTTTTGAAGCACACTGGAAACAACAAAACTTGGGTGCAGCCCTTGTTAAATCAAAAAATTCACTTTGGCCCTCCGACCAATTTTTATGCCCACCCCTGGTCTAAAAGAACTTTTCACTATTTACTTCCATTAATTTACTATAATTTTTTACATGTTCAATCAAAAAGGGGGTGTTCAGTTGCAGCATCAGCATCCCACCCCCTACTCGATTACCAGTGGCATGTATATCCAGTGGCGGCTCTAGGAAATATTTTCTTGGGGGCTGAGCTGTCCAACAGGGGGACTTGGGCTCGTAGGCCCGAGCTAGGGGAAGGGTTTGAGAGGGTGTTCCCCTTCCCAAATGAGATTTTTTAAGAATAGGAACCTCTGTTTAGCCAGAAATGACACTGATTGTGACAGACATGTGTTGGCTTGGCGTTGGCCTATTTTTATATATTTTTTAGTCCGACTGCCCAACGAGCTACAGTATGTTAGATGGGGGGCTTGACCTATCAAGTGGGCGGGGGCTTAAGCCCCTGCTCCCCCTCTCTAGTGCCGACACTGGGCGTATCTAAGAGTTGAAATGGGTGAAGGGGATTGCTGGTTAGCTGAGGGGTGCTAGCTTGCAACATAAGTATTTTATCTAATATTTTTCTGTAAATGGAAACATTTTCAAAAGCCTCAATTTGCTATCATTGCTAGTTAAATCTCACCCTTTTAGAGAGCAGCTTAGCTCAGTTGGTTGAACTGGTGGTAGCCACTGTGTGTGCACTGAATCATGGAAACTTGGTCCCCGGTTCAATTCCCATCGCTGCTCTCCTTGTATTTCAGCTGGAGGGTTGAATACAAGTTACGATAGTGCACTGTCTTTTGGATGAGTCGTTTAAGCCGTTGGTCCCGTGTGCATTTATGGCCCGTGTGCATGTTAAAAAACACAGTACGCAGTAATTTCTTGATAAAATGGCTCCAGCACCGAATGTTACACTATATAGCCCAACAGTTTATTTGTTTTTTAGTTTTTTCCCCGAAAATGTCTCCAGGACATTCATGATGCCTCAGACCGCTGGTTGCGCACTTCTCTCAGCCCCGGTGGTACACTCTTCAGGAAAATGTAGGGGATTGTGTTCCGGTGTACTGTACTGCCCAATCACCACCAGAAGGACCCCACCGGAAATAAGTTTTCTTCAGACTTTGTCAGTTATCCTTGGTGTTTACACCGAATATTTCCATCCATCCAATCCAAAAATTGAAATGAGAGATATTAAATCCATAATAGTACTATGAAATCTAACGGCTAATGATGCTTTTTTTTTTAATCAATTTTTCAGCAATTATTATATACCGCATCACGTCTGGACTGAATGTACCACGCCTTGCTGTCAAATTGGCACACTTTATCCTTCAACTTTGTGCATTCATCTGTTCGATCATAGCCCTAGTTGCAGTTTTCCAGTTCCATAATGCAAACCAAATTCCAAACATGTACTCCATGCACAGCTGGGCTGGAATAGCCACTGTTGTCATGTTTGGGTTGCAGGTAAAATAGAATTATGGACATTTCTTTTAGGCTAATAAGTGGAAACAATAAAATTCATTGTTGAATAACTTTGTATATTTAAGCAAGTTATTGCCAAATCTTTAACTTTCAATTGAAAATTTGAACATGTAAATTCATGCCAGACAGAAACAGAATTAACAGAATACCATTCCTTACACAGGCCCTTAAATTATTAGCTGGTTAGCAATTTTTAGTGTTTTCCTAGAAGCAATTTCTGTAAATCAGCAAAAAATTATTCAAAACTTTTCATTGAAATTGTACAAGTAATTTTATCAATTTAAATGATCAATTTAGTGATTGAAATATACTTGTTTTCATTGCATTCAGTAGGTGGTGAGTCACTCGTGTATATTAGTTCATGAAAGATATAAGAATTGTTTTTATTATTACTATTTTTATTATTATTATGTTATAAATTTTATTCTGACAAGAACTCACATTCTGTATTCATGCTTTATTAGACATTTAAAAATTTTGTTAAGAAACTGGACAGATAAACAACAAACACATTTTCAAGTAATCTTTTTTATATTTTGTGTTTTTCAGCTGTTGTTTGGATTCCTGATATTCCTGTTTCCAAAGTTACCGGAGCGATACCGAACGCTTTACATGTCTTCCCACATATTTTTTGGAGTGTTTATTTTAGGTCTTGCCGGAGCCACCGTCTTGATGGGAATAGGAGAGAAGCTAGCCTTTGCAGGGTGAGTTTACTTTGTTGCGTTATAAACAAATTAATGTTAATGTGCATTATAGAGATTTCATAGTTCCATGTAATAACGAGCTCAAATTCTCTTTTGTAATATCATGTATACTGTACAATCAGCTACATTATTTATGCATTTATCACAGAATATTTGCCAACCATAGGTGGACCTAGTAACCTTGTAACAAAGGTTCTCAAAACATACAGTATTATGGTAACTGTAAGGCTATGTTCACACACACGGCGTAAGACTGGCGCGGCTTACGCCAGGCGTAAGCTTATCCACGGATTAAAATTCCAAAGTGTTCACACAAACGGCGTTCGTTACACTAGCAGTAATATTGGCCTATCTTGTGTGGAATAGTTTTCAGTTTTAAATAATGTACGTGTTAACAGTAGTAAAATTAACAGTGCATCATGAAAACTTTTAAATCTGTGAATTGTTCGAAGTGAACTTAGGCCTATATGATTATTGTATTTTAAATGAACAATTTTACTTTTGATTTTTCAACTAGCATTGTTGATGTTGCATGTTTTAATAGACAGTCTAAATGGTTAAAATATCTTACAAAACACAATCAATAAATCATATACACTATAACTAAGTAAAATGCAATAGAAAAGGAACCCCTTATACCATTTCATTTATAGAGATCACAGAAAAGAGACCAAAGTTGCTAATATATTGCAATCTTGAAATGAGGTCAAATCATTCAAGCATCACTGGCGTTAGCTAATCTGGGGTCTGCAGGTAGCGTTAATAACGCCAAGGACGTGACGTAGTGAGTGGCTTTAACAACACCACTGCCTAGTTCACACACAAAGGCGTACGCTACGCCAGGCTTAAGCCAGCCTTACGCCGTGTGTGTGAACGTAGCCTTAGCCTACTGTATTGTCAGTACCAGCTTATTACTATGCTGTATACACAAACATCAACAACCTGGATTTCATTGCCATTCCCATGTATCATACTATAAAGTAGTTGCATTAGCTTCACCTGTAATAACAGTTATTGTGCGTGTTCACAAATGCCCATGATTTTGGCTGATCTATTTTTTACATAAATGTGTAGCTGTAACTAAAAAGCTTGTTGTGCCTTTATTAATTTTTTGCGGCTTTTTGGTACTTCAACATTTTCCCATAATAGCTTAATTAGGCCCATCCTTGTTTAATTCATTATTCCATTTACACTTCTTGAATAATCTTTTCAACTTGCTAGGTTTCAAAAACAAAAGTAGTGTTTAATTTCATTTAATTTATGTTACATTTTGACAATGAGATTTAAAACTGTATAC